GGGGAGGAGGAGGAGGAGGAGGACGAGGAGGAGGAGGAGGAGGAGGATGGGGGAGGAGGAGGAGGAGGAGGAGGAGGAGGAGGAGGGGGGAATAGGAAGAGGAGGAAACATAAGGGCGCGCACTGGGTGGACACGCTGGCCCGCGCACAGCGTCCGAAGAGACAGGCGGCGCGACGTCGCTCCGGTGGCCCTCTCGTGAAACCCGCATCCCTCTCATGACCGGCCGCCCTTCCTTCGGCCTCCAGAGGGGCGCTCGCCTGACAGAGCTCTCTTGGGCCTTGCCCCAGTGCTGGATCTGGCCCGGAAGATCACGCGCGCGGCGTTCTCTCCATGCATTTGGGCGTGCCAGAGTGAGTTCTGGGCAATTACTTCGGCCCGGAAACCTTCTTCATCCTGCGGCCGCACTCGAGCGCCATTGATTAGATTGAAGCGACAGCCGTGCATGGATTGGGCCTGAATGCGGGCTGATGCATGCGCATCATGCCTCGAAATGGCGCGGGCGACGCCGCGGGGTGTCACGCGCCGGGCGCGGCGAGAATTCTCTGGGCCGTCGCAATCGGGCTGCCTCTGGGCCCCGCGGCGAACGACGCCCGCGGCCACGATCACGTTTCCTCTCAGAGTGGCCCAAGCCTCAGGGAGGGGAGGGAATCAAGATCGCAGTGGATGAGGGGGCTGGCGACGAGGCCGAGTCTGATAGGAACCACTACGATGCGGAGCTGGACGATGAGAAGGAGGGGGGGGAACTGAAGGAACACGACCTGGGGGAGAGGGGAGGTGCGCGACGAGGAGAAGCTGCTGGTCTGACTGATGCCTGCAAAAGACTGACCAAACCCTACGCGACCGCGGCTGAATGGGGGGGGGCGGAGCAATGCCGTGAACAACCGTTGCCAATGCCGGAGCTGCCACTGTGGACGTGCGAGAGCGTAGCCACACATCGATTCACTTTAGGTCCTTCGCGCTCTCTTGTCGACACTCCAATGCTAGACAACATGACGAGGTGCTGGCGCCCCCTCGCACCTGGCCATGTAGATCCCGCCCCTAGTGCGTCCTGCGCGACGACCCGAACGCGCTGGCCTGTGACGATGGCTGGACTAGTCACAAGACTCTGGATATCAATGCTTCGCAACGCGCACAGCCCCGGACCAATGGTAACGCGTGATAATGATAATTGTAGCGCCAATAAGTAATCGCCAATAACTCACCATATCCGACGGTAATCATTCACGGTGATGGTAATAGAGCACGCAACCCTCCCCTCAACAACCTTTCTCTCCTTTTCAAGTTACCTGTCTCAGCGGCCTGCTTCTGGCCCTGCTGCGCTGGGTCGATGAAGTAAGGCGATCCACACTACGCCGCGCCCTCGGGCGCCATCTGGGCAGAGATCCAGCGCGATGGCAGCAGGTCGAACACTCGAGCATCCAAGGCGGCCGACTGAAGACATGACACCTTTGACCCAAAACAAGACCCAGGAGGGACTTCTTCCAGATGAAGGCGGGGAACAACCACGCCCCAAGGACCAACGAGACCCAGGATATACTTCTTCCAGGACGAGGCGGACCCCCCTAGGGGCCCCAGGATCAAACTACACCAGAATAACCAAATGAGCCGACGACGATCGGCTCGCGATGATGAGCTTGTCTGGTCGTTCGGCGATGATTGTTTATGAGGACAGCGGAGTAGCGCGAGCCATGCAGGCGATCAATGCCGATTCCACACGCTCTATAGCCATAGAGAGACATCGCGCGGGGTTTTGCTATACAAACTGCACAGCTATCGCGCGAGCTTAATCTTCATTCAATTGACTCCTGCATTACACTCTGAATGCAAGGAGAGAGAGGTTGCCGAGGAGAGGGCTGCGGATGTGGGCGCGAGGGCGCCCGCAGTGCGAGCGATGAACCCGTCGTTGATTCAAATATTAAAAAACAAAACAGCAGACCGAGTAGAGAGCTCTGCAGCCCGAGTGTGCGTCATCGTGCGTGTCGTTGTCGCGTTCGTCGTCGCGTTTTTCGTCGTCGTCGTCATCTCCTCCCCCGAATCCTCATCGCCCCCATCGCCCCCCCTCGCCCGTCCTCATCTTTTGTTTTCGCCCCCATCCTGGCGGCGCAACTCTATTCTAGGACATGGGCGCTAGGCGTCCTGAAACAAACTGACCCGCCGAAGGCGGGGGCCGCCGGGCACGCCCGCGACTCACGATCCGCCAAACGCGGCGCGAAGCCGCGCGCCGAGCAAGCCACTCACCCCCTTGACTCGAGGAAGCCGAGGACGCCGCGGAAGCCGAGGCTGATGAGGAAGCCGAAGATGCCGAGGAAGCCGACTCGATGCGGTCTGGCAGCTCGCACATCGAAGCGTGGCGGCCCCCTCCGCAGATCTCGCAGACCCACGACCACTCCCGGCGGTAGACGGCGCCCGCGTCGCAGGAGCCCTGGGAGTCGGAGAAGCTCGCAGACTCGAAATAGCCCTCAGCATCGTCGTCGTCGGCGTCGTCGTCTTAGACGTCGGCGTCGTCGACGTCATCGTCGCCGTCGTCGTCCTCGTCGTCGTCATAGTCGTCGTCGCCGCCATCGGCGGCGTCATCGTCGTCGTCGCCATCGTCGTCGTCGTCGTCGTCGCCGTCGTCAGCGTCGTCGTCGTCGTCGTCGTCGTCGTCGTCGTCGTCGTCTCCGTCGTCGTCGTCATCGTCGTCGTCGTCGTCATCGTCGTCGTCGTCGGACGTCGAGCCTTGAAATCGAAGTCCTCCGCGTCGCCACGGCCCGCCTCCTGGTCGCCTTTGCCGCCCTCGAGGTGGCCCTTGCCGCTCTCGATGTTGCCCTTGCCGCCCTTGAGGTTGCCCTTGTGCCTGCGTTCTTCGGGGTAGAACCTGTTGAGCTTTGTCTGGAAGTGTTGCGCGAACTCCGTGGTCCATGGGTTATGTATTATTCCAACATTGTCTGGCAGTGGGCACTCCGCAGTGTGATGGCGACCCGCGCATATCGCGCAAATCCAAATCCAATCTCGACGCACGAACCACTCGTCTCTGCTGCCATGTACCCGCCACCGCAATAGCACTTACAGGTGCCGTGGGCAGCGCGAACTGCTTGGGTCCATGGTGGCCCAGTAGGCCCCGCGGTGTAACGATGAACTCCCCGGGGCGCCTCGACGGTGTCCCGCTGGTGTTCCGATGGCGTCCCGATCGCGCATAAGCGATGTCCCGATGGCGTTGCCCGCCCAAGCGCGGTGGCGGCGGGATCGCGCGGAAGCGCACCTTGGCTGTCGCCATCGCAGTCGAAGGAATCATTGTGGAACTTCTTGTCGCGGCCGTCCATGCCGTCCTTGATGTCGTCGCGGTGCTTGCTGTCGGCCTCGGGAATTGCCTGTGGATGGTAGATCCTGCCCCTCAACTCGCTGACGAGCTTGAAGTAGTTGCCCTGCACGTCGCCGTAGACCACGCCCAGGTGGTCCGCCCCTGCCCTGCGCGCCTTGACGACCTGCTCTAGATTGTAGAAGGCGCCATCCAGCTGGCCAATCAGCTTCCAGGGCATGCCGCCCATGTCGCAGTCCGGGTTCTTAAGCGAATGACGGCGGCCTGCGGCTGGGCACTCGGGATCGGGGATCACGCGTCGAGAAAAGACGCCGAGGTGTTTCTCGCCATGGAGCCTGAAGCGGTTACCCCACTCGTCATAAGCCACGCCCACGTCGGTCTTGGTCTTGACCACCGTAGCCGACATCAGCGCTTCGGTTGGAGCCCTTGTCGCCCTTGGAGTAGCTGTCTGCGGAGCCGTCGCTGTTGCCCTCTGCGGGGCCGTCGCTGTAGCCCTTTGCGGAGCCGTCGCTGTAGCCCTCGCAGCCATCGAGGTAGGAGCCCTCTGCGGAGCCATGGCGGTAGCCCTCTGCGAAGTCGTCGGTGTTGCCATCCGCGGAGCCGTCAGTGTAGCCCTCTGCGGGGCCGTCGCAGCCCTTGTGGTAGACCTCTGCGGGGCCGCCGTGCCCCTTGTGGTAGCCCTCTGCGGAGCCGCTGTTGCACGCCTCCTAGGAGAGCGAGATCAAGCCATGGCTCGAACTCCTGGCGCTCGCGCAGCCGCTGCGCCGGCTCGAAAGCTTGAGCCGCAACGGCTACGGAAGTCAAGCTGATCAAGAACGAGCCCCGCACATGCATCTAAGTTTCCGGCGCCGCAGAGGTTGTTCAACTTTGAGCGCTCGCGCGACTGATCTTTGAACGCTGGCCTGATCTGGGGCACTGGCAGCGTTCGACCTTGATCGCCGCAGCGGCGCGATTCAAGCATGCCCTGCGACCCCTGGCCCCGCATGCAATGGGCGTAACCGGGGCCCAGCGGCAGGGGCGGTTCGCGCCAAGCTGTCGAGATCCAACATGGGGGGCGTATATGTTCGAGCACAGTCCAGCCGCGGCGACAGCTAACTGCCTGGGCCAGGGTCTTCCCAGGTGATGGGGCCCTTGCGTTTCCTCATCCTCCACGTCGTATTCCCACTTGTTTTGCCCCTTGTCGGATTCCCCCCCCCTCGGGGCCGCTGTTAACTGGAAATCAGAAGCGGGCCCCCGGATCACAGAAACGCCGACTCAACTGCGTCGCCCGCCAGCATGCTGCTGCTGTCTGCGAGGGCGCGGTCGCGGCAACAGGCGCGGCTTGACATCGCGGGGGAGCCCCGGGTCAGGGCGCCCAAGATAAGTGGGGGGAACCGCGAAGCCCGCGGGAAAAACGACGAGGATCGCGAATGGGAGATGGAGGAGGCGGAGGAGGACGACACCATATTACTGATCAAGGGATCTCCCTCGGTTCCCCGCCAAGAGCTGCTTTCTCCTCGTCAGTGGGCTCGCGCCCCAGACCGAACAGGCGCTGCAGCTCTGGCCGAGTCGCAGCCAGCCTCTCTAGGCGCTGGCGCCCCTGACGTCGCAACTCGCACCCGCCAGACTTACCCAAGTCCTTCTTGAATAGCTGGTGCGACTCTTTGTCCACGAACGAATTCTAGTTCAGGAGCCGCGCCATCAGGTGCCCGACGGGTCGCACTTCTCCCTTGCGCGGCTTGCGACCCTCGACCCTGGTGGCCCGATCCACGTGGCAGTTCGCGCACTTAGGCTTGCAATGCCCCTTGTGCTTGCAATTGGCGTTAAGCCTGCCCCTGGTCGCGTCGTAGACGAGCTCGCCCAGGCCCTCCAATGAGACGCACTTCCACTCGCCTGAAGGCGCCAGCGCTGCGGCGGGAGGCGCCCCCGCTCCAGCTGCAGGCGCTTCTGCGTCTCCCCCTTCCACCTGGAGGCGCCGCCGCAACACCTGGGGGGGGGGGGCCTCCATCTCCGCCAGGTGGCCCTCCAATAGCGACATCGAGCCCTTCGCCAGCAAGTGGGCAACCGCCATCTCCGCCAGAGTCGCCCCCACCTCCGCCCGAGTCAGGCGGGCGGCAGCAGGGGGTGGGCGAGGGCGAGGGCCGCGGCGGACGAGGGCGAGGCAACGGAGGCGGGCGAGGCGGGGGAGGAGGCGGAGGAGGTGGCGGAGGAGGCGGCGGAGGTGGAGGTGGAGGAAGAGGCGGAGGAGGAGGTGGGGGAGGAGGCGGAGGAGGAGGCGGAGGAGGAGGCGGCGGACGAGAGGGGGTGGAAGAGAAGGTGGAGGAGGATATGTCAAGAGGAGGAAGAGCAGGAGGAGGTGGAGAAGGAGGAGGTCAGGAGGTGGAATCATCAGCGCGCCTTCTGGAGCACTGTGCACCTTGTGATCTGGTTTCTTCGGGGCGATCGCCATGGCGTCATCGCCCCAGCTGTCGTCGCTGCCACCACTTCGTTCCGGGCTGACGTCGACGTATTCCGGGGGGTCCGAGGCGTCGCTGCTGGCCCCTCCTAGCGCAGACTTGCCCAGCAAAGGCTTCTTGGCGACCTCGCCCCTATCGTTCTCGAGCCGCCTGGCTGGCCGCCGGAGAGAATTGAAGCCCGCGTTGATAATGTCACCCAGCCCGTTGCGGTCGTCGAACTCACCATCATCGATGCCAGCGCCGCCCGTCTCGTCGCCCTTGGGCTTCTTGAGCAGTATGACGCGATCCAGAGCATCTTGCGACTCTGCACCAATCTGCCCCAAACAAAGAACGGTCGGAATCTACGTCGATACCAGCCTTGGGAAGACCAGAGGCTTACCCAACACTGTTATCGCAACGCTGCGCGTGCCCTTCCTGTGCCCGATAAGCTGCTTGATGAACGCATGATGGGATCCTCGTTTCAAAGCGTTGTTCTCCCACGCAGGTCTCAGAAAGTGGATGTTCTCTAAAGCAGCGCCCTCGGGATGGAAGTCCCCCAGCTCAGCGAAAAGACCAATTGGGGGATCTTGCCTTCGAACGCGGCAGCAGTGCAGACACGTCGCCGCCGAAATGTTCATCTCCTGGCGCGCCAGCTCCAGCTTCAAGATTTTCCGAATTGGCCCGTCCTCTTTCAAGATTCTGTAGAAACTGGATGCTGCTGAACAGATCTGGCCATAGTTCGAATTGTCCACAGTGCGGCAGGTGCCAGGGTGCGCCTCCATGCATCGCTGTCTCACCGAGAACTTTTGTTCCTTCGGGATAGATCCTCAATTGTTACGAGCCGTCAGAGACCCAGCGAGAAGCAGAAAGCGATGAGTAGAGGGGGGGGGGGGGGGGCAGGCGAGAGGCGACGATGAGAGGCAGGAAACAGAATAGGGAGCGCGAGGCAGGAGAGAGTAGACAGGGAAATGATAACGGGAGAGGACAGGGGGAAAGGAGAGAAGACTATGGGAAGGGGGCCCAGAGTGGCGCAGGACCTGGTGGCATTAGTGGCTCATGTGTCCTGCATTTCGGACAAGCGAGCCCCACCGGCAAGCCCCCCTGCAAGAGCGCCCCCCAAGCTATTGAACGTTAGGGACTCCTCGCTGTCATCGCGTAAACCCCTGCGCGGCCGAGCCCGAGGTCTCACGGCTTCCATGGACTTCTCTGGACAGTCGGGCATCTCAGCTGCAGCCGGTCCCCAGGCACAAGCGGCCACCTGAACCTCGGACCCACCAACTGTCCTCAACTTCGAAGATCTCCGCTCGTTGTCATTGGCATCGCGCCTCTGCTGTCCAGCGCGCCGTCGGTGGGAGTGGAGTTCTGCTCCGCGGGAAGCAGGCCATGAAACTGAGAGGCCCTGAGCTTCGTGAACTCCGCGCGGCCCCTGCGCTCGCCATCCTGGCGCGAGTGCTCCTTCGCGTAAAAGAACAAGGCCGTGCATCCTCCTCTCGTCTCGCCCTCCTTCCTCGAGGCATCCATCTGTGCCGGGAGGGGCGCTCCAGCCGCAATCATGCTGGATCGCGCGTCCACCGTTGGATCCTGCCTGCCTTCAGATAAGTGACGCCCCATGAACTGTGTCAGGTACCCGTCGCTCAAGTATCTCTCTGCCAAGTGCGGTCGGACATCGCGTCCGCTCTGCCCCATGGCTGCCAACAGTCGTTCCACGTGCATGTTCGTCACCTTGGGCTCTAGCCCTCAGAGGTTAAGCATTATCCTGACATCTTTGTTTGCTATCATCGCATCGGG